GTTAAAGGAAGAAATTCAGAAAAATTGCCAGCATCGTACCAGGGTCGCAACCGAAAATGTTTAGACCTAAAATCAAAATCGTGGGCTACCATACAGATGAACGAATTACCGAAGAAGAGATAGTAGAAGACATCACAAGACAGAACCATTTCATAGAAAAAGAAGATATTAAGATAAATTTTATTAAGTATATTGCACAAAACAAAATTTATATTATTTACGCAGAGGTCACAGGTAATTTATTTAAACAGATTTTTGAAGATTATAATGGAAAAATCTATTAGGATTTCAAAATGTATCTGTATACAAAAATAATTAAGTGTCTCAGTGCACAAATTGTTCCGATTTAATCATTCTGGAAAAAACTGCCAAAATCCTAAGTCTGTGCTCAGTGTGGAGAAAACCATGACACTTCCTTTGTAAGCAGCCACATCCGAAATGTTGCAACTGTTTGTATTCAAGACACCAGTATAAGAAATCTTACAGTACCGATCATCTTCCGACAGACAAAATTGCCCAGTGTATGAATTCTTTCAACAAAGACATCTCTCACGAATTTTATTTTGATCATTATAGAATTATTTAGAATACTCAAAATCTTTTCTAAATTATGTACGATTCAAATACTCTTAATGGCTGGTAGTAAAATGCTTATCGGACACTTGAATGTACGTTCCGTCATGTCTAGTTTGATGCTATTGTAAATTTAATAGCATTAGAAAATTTTGTGGAATCTATGTTAAATCAAATTTACATGCTGAAAAGATAGATATTCATACAAATTTTGGTGTTTGTTTCGAAAGCATTTTGGTTAAATTGGTTGCGGTAAGTGTGAACTGTTAGTAGGTGTTTTATACCGACCACCCTCTAAAACATACAACAATGTGCAGATTTATTAAATGGTTTCCTACCCAGCCTCTCGTTATATCATCATAACATCGTGATATTGGGAGATCTGAATATGAATTTTTTTAATAACAGTATATTCTCACTGAGTTTGAGCTGATGGGGTTCACACAAATCGTAACGGAAGCCACCCGTGTCACAGATAGTACTGCAACATTAATCGATCCAATATTTTTAAAAAATCCTCAAATATGCAGCTATTCTTCCGTCATGGACACGAATGGTATTTCGGACCACAAACTCGTATTTTTTCATTTTGACATTCCATCTTATAAAGAAAACAAAAATTTATCACAATCAGGGATTTTAAACATTTCAGTGAGATGATTTTCTTATCGATCTTTCTACACCGGGCATAGATGAATTATTTCTTATATAGAAGGTAATTCACATTACAAGCGTTATCGTGGAAACCTATAATAAACATGCACCTTTTAAACTGTAAGAGTTAGTAAGCCACCACCACCTTGGTTGTTATTGTTATTGTTATTATTTGCGCACAAAGAAAAACATACAATGTAACACAGCTCTTGAACATTCAGTTAAATAACCAATTTTTCAATTTTCTGATTCTGCAAAATTCTTGGTGTTGTTTTTGATACAATATTAAGGTTATTGAACATGTAAAAGTCTATCTCAGAAAACACACCTACGGCTGCGCACTCTTATAGCAAACAGGTATTTACTAAATTTTAAGTTGCGTAAAAAACTATGTGAAGCATTGGTCATATCTATACTAAATTATTGTATATCGTATACTATACTTGTTTAGACAATTTCACTAAAACGTTATTCAAGTTATTCAAAACATTTGTATACGATTTATTTTGGTTTTTTCGTAAATTTGATCATGTATCAGCGAAATACCCCGTTCTAAACTGGTCAAAAATTGACATGGTCAAGTATCACTATTCAGTTTTTGCTCACAAATTGCTGCTCTCGCCTAAACCTTATTACTTGAAGGAAGAAATTTCATTTAATAATGATGTTCACTGTAGAATTCTCAGAGAAAATAATATTAGAATACCCCTGCATACGTCTACACTTTTTAAACGCAGTTTTTTTACAATGTTGCTATTATTTATAATGACCTTCCTAAAGTATATAAAGAATTTCCTTACCTGTCCTTCGACAAAAAGTTAAACATTATTACTCAACCCTCCAAACATATAATTTACGTAATCATTCATTTCTTTTTTATTCATCTTTAATTCAGGTTAATAATTTTTTGGTGCATTTGGGTTCGGAAAGTATGCCTTTTCCTCTTTTTTTAAATTTTACTTTCGATGTAATGAACCAAATCTGTTTGTGGATAGTGTACTCTTTTGAACATCTGCTAGAGACTATATGGTTAAGTGTAAGAGTAGCAGCATGCTAAACTTCACCATATAAGTCTGACATTTGGCTATACTACAACGTAATTGTGGATAAATAAAGACGTCTATTATTATTATTATTACCAGCCAATAATCACCATGAGCAGCTGTGTTGATCTCTGTTGTTCGGACGTGTGAAGGTAGTATTTATTTATCGTATGGCAATTCAGTCACATAAAAATAAACAGAATTGAAAAAAACATTATAACGAGCATTGAACAGTTATCAATATATTAATATAATCTATCGACTCTAGAGTTGCGAATTAAAAGGGCTTCCTGTGGGACACTCCTGAATACTGCGAACAATGGTCTGGTTCTGTCGGCAGTCGCACAAGGATTTGGTTCAGTTATTTATACTTTATTGCCCGACAAACAGTAATCCGGTTAGTGAGAAATACGTGTATAATAGTAATCTTTGTGTATACAACATAATGCAAACAAAAAAAATACGTCGAGTAAACAACTACTATTACTATCTGAATTTAAAAAAATTGTACTAATAAAGTCGAAATGGATGTCATAACTGGCTGCTATAGAATAATAATTATTATACAGGGTGACTTCGAAGTTGAGTCATTTATTTTAACAGTGAGTAGATCTGATCAAAATAAATGTTTTTTCCTTTAACATTTTTGTGGTAAAATTAAAGTAACAAAGTTATAGCCCTTTAGAAGTTTGAGTACCGCCCTGTCTCAATAATAATATTATGTGCTCGTGTTTGGCGACAACGGATATACTCCGCCTTATCGGTTCATCGCATCGGAAACAAAAAAGCGAAAGAATTTGAACGCTGATCACGATGATTTTATTCAGTCTGTGTCAGTCGGTAACGCGTGAGTGAATAGTGGTGATTGCTGCGTGGCTCAAACGAATAAAAAATGGCACATATTTATGCGGATCGATTTCCCAATCGAGTGCAACCAACCCCTCGTGCCTTTGTTAATGTAGTACAACGGGCTCGTGAATCAGGTGACTTAAGACCTCACAGAGGACTGCATGCCGGTGCTCCAAGACCTCACGATCAAATACAGGTCCACACTGAAATACTTGTCGGGAGGATACTTTATAAAACAAGTAAAAAAAAAAATTAATTTTTTTTTATTTTTACACACATATTTTGGTTCATCTTCCTTCTACATCACTATCTGAAAATTAATGACTCAACTTCAAAGTCACCCTGTATAAAGAATATAATGACGGATTCAATAATATTGTAACACTCTCGCAACTAGAACTTCATGAGATACCCTCGTACATCGGTGCTTAGGGCCGTATCGTTTGTCGTTCCTACAATTATTGTAGGTCGCCTTTATGGGCTCCTTGATTTCATAGTTTTCTACTGTTCCGCATCACGCTCTATTTGGGGTTAGGTCACAAACATCTATTCGTATAAAATTGTGCATACTTTTAATTTATTTCAGTAAAATTCGTTGTCAGTCCGGTCTGTATCATTAAGTACTATTTGTTTAATTTTACTTAGGGTTTCGGGTTTGAGGTATTTTAAATTTTCAACGATTCATCTACTTGTTCTCTAGTGTTATTTCTGTAAAGGGTACTAGTAGGGGTCTTAGGTGTGTTGAATGGAGCTTCTGTGTTTGAAGCGTTATTGTGCACTTGCGCTTTTACTGTTATTGGTCCCTTACTGTTTTGTGTCTACCGTTTCTGTTTATTAGGTTCTCATTGTGACTTTCTCTATTGTATCCGGTGTTATGTTCAACTATTCTTTTTTTTTGGGTTTGTGATAGTGCTTGTTGAAAGATCCTTTTTGTTTTATTGTATTCGCAAATTCAAATGTTCTTCTCTGTGCTATATTTATTTGACTTGTTCCGGAGGTAGGAGCTGTATTCTGGTTTCTGATTGTTGGAAGTTTCTATTATTGTAAGCTATGTCGTTGTGTTTATCATATTACTATGCGATTTATACGTTTTAGGACACAGCTCGTTTGCCTCAAGTGTGAAATATTTTCAAATACCATAAGTTGTTTTATCTTTTCCTGCCTCTTGTACTCTGGGCAGTCTTTCGAATTGGATCTGTGTTCCAGACTATCGCAATGATAATATTTTCTTTGACAGTGAAAGTCCTCCCCCTCTTCGTTATGTTCAGGATTACCGCAATTAAAGCATCTTCTTTTTCCCTTACACTGGGTCTTAGTGTGACCATAAGTGAGACAAGAGTAACATTGAGTGACAGGGGGTATATATGTAAATACGGGAAAGAGAAGATAGTAAATAGAAATATCTCTGGGGCGTACTGTGCCTTGAAATGTTATTAGTATGATACCAGTGGGCGTGTATTTTATAATGCCATCTACTATGGTTTTTCTATTGAGCCTTTTTTGCATCTAACACTTCATTGGAGATTCGATAGCGCTAATAATCTCTTCAATTGTGAAGCTTGTATCTACTTGTCTATGATTCCCTTGCATGTTACTTTGTTGAATGGTATATATATATATATATATATATATATATATATATATATAACTTGAGACGTGCTCATTGTCGTCTAGACCAGTTAGGTGAAAAATTAAAGCTTCCGCCTTTGTTGGGTACTTCGACAAAAATTTAAACAAGGATGACTGTTTATACTTTTTTTATTCTCTCTAGCTTTCAATGGACTTTGCCATCATCATTAGGAGCTGAAATTACATTGATAACAGTAGCAACAATAGTGTAAAATGAATTTAAATTAACTACAGTAGTATGTGAGGATGTTGCTAATTGTTGTTTACGTTCAGGATGAGGGAAACACCCAGTAACATGGTGAAAGTTGGATAACTGGTACAATGGTCGAAATTATATAAATACTGCTGTATGACAAGTCGAGTGGTATGTTTGTTGTAATGTGCCAATCTGGATGCTTCCGCAGCGATACGTTCAAAAATATCGTTGACGAAGCTGTTCATGATGCTCATCGCTTTGCTGGATATACCCGTATCGGGATGTACCTGCTTCAGTACTTGTAGGTGTAAATTGCGTAACTTCCTTCCTCCTGCACTTCTTTTTCTTGTCAGATTTTGAGATATTCTTCTGCGCCTTGCCCGCTTTTTGGCAGCCTTACCGCTAGTTTTGGGTGGCATTTTAATGTGAGATTATGCTCAGTAGGATCGACACCAACGCCCACCATTTTGTGCAATCATCAAGTGGCTTCACGATGTAATGCTTTCATGTTCTAAAAATTTTTAATCTGTTTTTAACTTGTTCTTGTCATACAGCTGTGTGTATTTTATATAATTTTGATCATTGTACCATTATCCAAATTTCACCATGTTACTGGGTGTTTCCCTCATCCTGAACGTAAACAACAATTAGCAACATCCTCACATACTACTGTAAGTTAATTTAAATTCATTTTACACTATGGTTGCTGCTGTTATCAATGTAATTGCAGTTCCTGATGATGCTGGCAAAGTCCGTTGAAAGCTAGAGAGAATAAAAAAAGTATAAAGAGTCCTCCTTGCTTAAATTTTTGTCGAAGTACCCAACAAAAGACGGAAGTTTTAATTTTTCACCTATATACTTCGAAAAAAAAAAGAATTTCTTGGCGTAGTCAAATTTTCAATTCGACATTTCTTCTTTCGACTTCCATCATCAGCTTTGCTTTTTCATAATTTTATTGATGATAATAACAATAATAACATAACTAAGCAGATTTCTCTATAGTCTTCCAAACTCTGCTATGCGAAACAAATAAAATCTGATAATTTCAAGGCCTACCTAGGAGCTTCTGGAATAACTAAGGTTTTGCAATGTCAATGTATGACATACATTTTTGAAATTAGAATGTGTGTAAACATCGAATAGAGAGAAAAAATAAGTTGGTGCTGGAGGACAAGATACGAAACGTCATATTGACATTCTAATTGATGTGCAACTTATTTTGAAATCCTATCGCAAATAAAGTCAGGAGAAGAAGAATTTTGGGAAATTTCGTTTTTTGCGTTCAATTTCAAAACTTTCTGAGCGACATTTTGCTGATTATCTGAATACGCAACTTTGCCCCTATTAAGCGACTCCGTATTCCTTAAAGTTTCCGAGATCCCAATCGTGAGGGTCGAATTTGAAATACCCCGTATAGGGAAAATATTATTTTTACCTCAGCAGGGGTACCCGTGAAAAAAGCTGTAGTATCACAATATCTCCAGATTTCGTTATTTCTTTTCATCAGCTTTGGGTTGGCATTCATATCTAGAATATACAAATACTGTTTGTGCATACACTTCGAGGCTGGGCGACAAGGGAACAGGGAACTATCCGAGTTTTATTAAAAGTTATTCACAATACTGTGTATATTTCTCATGCATCACTGCAGACGTTTATTCAGAATTCTTATCATTTACTTCTTCAACTTGTAATATCGCTGGCGGAAAGTGCTACTGAAGAACTGCGGAGTACTCGTACACAGCAATGGTTCCTGGATAATGGGCTGCTGCTCAATGCAAGCAAGACGGAGTTTATAAAGTTCTCATATACAAACCATAACCTCGATTGCAGCTTGCTGCTCAAGTCTCTCAGTGGTTCCATTCAGCAGGTTGGCTTTGTCAAATTTTTGTGAATCCATAAAGTGGAATGCTCACATTGATTATGCATGCAAAAAGATCGCTCCATTCCTGTACTGCATCAGTTAGCTACGCTTTGTGGTCGATAGATCTTTGCTATTGACCTACTATTTTGCATATATCCACTCCACAATTTCATACGGTATCATAGCATGGGCTGGTTCCACAGAAGCAATTCGAGTATTCACTATAATAATAATAATAATAATAATAATAATAATAATAATAATAATAATAATAATAATAATAATAAATAGGTCTGGCCGGTTAGGACACTGTTGCCAGCAGTGTCAAACCCGCTACCGTAGCAACAACAAGGATAGACGGTACAGCCAGCGATCCTCCAGTGTGTGCCAGGGGTTTTTGTGTCTCTTCCTCCTGGTGCAGGAAAACATATCATGTGCAGAATGTGTACATATCGGCTCCTAGATGGAGTCGTATAAAAAGAGCCACACCCATAATTTCTTTATGGAGATGAATTTTGAATATAGCCTCGGAAAAAGGTCGCTGCCTGAGGGTGATCGTCAGGGCATATCTGGAGCCGGCGCTGGATATGACAGCATGCGGGACGTCGGTGGCAGGGTGCTGAGGAGGCGGGCCCCTGTCGTCCAAGAAGCAACAGCCCCCCAACAAAGTGGTAGCCAAACAACAACTAGTGCCACCGCTGCCGAAAGTGCTGCACAGGAATCTCAGCCAGTGCTCACTCAAGCAGGTCTCCTAGAAGACGTATAAAGTGGACGGTGTCCATGAATGAGTCAATCATGCGAATCTTCTACAAAGTTACCAACCTAGGTAGAGAAACAATCGGCTACAGACCACGACTTCATACCGCTTTCTGTAGTGAATATCCGGAGATCAAAGTATCTCAGCAGAGAGTGGCAGACCAATATCGAGTGATAATCAAAATAATCTTATCCCACAACCACGGCTGAATGCCATCAAACAGGAAGTGCAGCTTGATCTTATGCAACAAGAAGGGAGTAATAACGAAATACGCGATAATGGTCAATCTGAGCAAGAACAGATAGAAAGTGAACAGCCTGGAGTTGACGACAGTAATGATCAAGACACAGAAATATTTGGTATATTAATAACTGAAATGGGTAGAGCATATGCCGAATTTGATGGAACGAACCCGCTAGAAAGACCACCATTACCAAAGTTGAAGTCATCTAGAAAGCTTGCTGTGGTATTGTGTCAGTTAAATAAACAGATCCTGCCAGAGTATCTAGCACACTCCAACTGTATAGAACAACTTCACACACTGATATACTGTGCAGCTGTTGCAACAGTAAGAACACTTGGTGTCAAAATGCCAACTCAAAAGATTACTGAAAATTCAGTAAAACCAATAACACCAAAATGGGAAAAACGTCTGGAAAGAAGAACGGCAGAAATTCGCAGAGATATCGGACGTCTTACCCAATTCACACGAGGAATAACAACTCGAAAAGTCCGAAAGCAAGCTATGGAAATAATGCAACGACTCCACCATCATTCTCACCAAGACGCAACTAACATCAACGAGTGGCAATGCCTTGATACCTTGAAGCAAAAACTGTCCGTATATACTCAGCGATTGAAAAGGTATAAAGCGTCCAGTCACAGAAAGCACGACAATGCGCTCTTTCAACGATCCGAAAAGGCATTCTACAGGAAACTGTCATCCGAACCCCAGGAAAAGAGCAAAACGGTGCCCACAAAGGACCAAGTAGAGGAATTTTGGGGCAAGCAGTTTGGCTCGACAGCTTATTACAACAAGTGTGCAGGATGGATTACAGATGAAGAAGCGAAGAGCCATTATTGCAATCCCATGCAGTATAGGGCATATACCAAACAAGAAATCGTGGATATCGTTAAGCAGTTGCATAATTGGAAGGCCCCGGGCCCAGACCAGATTCATGGCTACTGGATAAAGAAGCTTTGGTGCATGCATGAACAACTAACAAGATATATCAATGACATGCTTTTGAATCCAAATAAGACTCCAACGTTCCTAACACAAGGGCTAACGGTATTAATACCAAAAGATCACAATAATACAGAAGACCCAGCAAAATACCGCCCAATTACCTGCCTTCCTACGCTATACAAGGTGGTCACTGCTTGTATATCGAAGCGAATTTATGCTCATTGTGAAGAAAACGATATTATTGCGCCACAACAAAAGGCTGTGCTAAGGGAGCTATGGGATGCAAAGAACAGCTGGCTATCGATTCAGTCGTCTGTAACCAAGCCTATACCAACAAAAGGAACCTATACATTACGTACATCGACTATCAGAAGGCATACGATTCTGTACCTCATGAGTGGCTTGTCAGGGTGCTGAGGCTCTATAAGGTAGATGAGCATGTAGTGGCCCTATTAGAACATATGCTGAAGACCTGGAGAACCAGAATAACACTGCATACAAACGGGACCAGCACCATTCAAACTGAGACGATCTCTATCCGAAGAGGTCTCTTTCAGGGTGATTCATTAAGTCCCCTATGGTTTTGCCTAGCTATAAATCCCCTCTCAAACCTCTTAAATGCAACAGGGTATGGATATAGTCTGAAAGATAACAGGAACGCATCCATAAAACTGAACCACTTGCTGTATATGGACGACCTAAAGGTAATAGCTGCTACTGAGAATCAAATGAAACAGCTGCTAGAGATAGTCGGTCAGTTCTCAGATGACATAAGTATGCGATTTGGGATGGATAAATGCAAAACCTTATCTATACGTAGGGGGAACATCTACCCTGGAGGATTTTCAAGCTGCAGAGGCCAAAACATTGACACAATGGACGCAAATGACACATACAAGTACCTTGGAATGGCGCAGGCCCGAAGGATAGACCATAAAAAAATGAAGGAAGCTATATCGCAGACCTTCACAAAAAGAATACGGCTACTTCTGAAACAGAACTCAATAGTAAGAATCTAGTCAAGGCGATTAACACCTACGCATGCTCTGCCTTGAACTACTCGTTCGGTATAGTTCTGTGGAGTAAAACTGACATCGAGAAACTAGAGAGGCGGGTAAGGACTATGCTAACAAAAAAAGGAGCGCACCATCCTCGCAGTGCAATAGAGCGCACAACCTTACCCCGACAGTTAGGAGGAAGAGGTCTAATGGACATCAGCAAGCAGCTAGCTCAACAGGTACTCGCCTTGCGATCCTACTTCTTTGAGAAGGCCGAGATCTCTGAGCTGCATCGCATCATATGCTCAATAGATGACACAACGCCCTTACACCTTAGTAGACGAGATGACCAACCGAGTCACCAAACCAACGAACAGAAGCTACAACGATGGATTGAAAAACCTCTACATGGGAGACATGCCAACGAGATTAGCCAAGAAAACGTTGACAAGAAAGCGTCAAACTATTGGCTTACATCAGGCCAAATGTTCCCTGAGACTGAGGGATTCCTTGTAGCTATACAGGACCAGGTCATTCCTACCAACAATTACAAGAGGTTCATACTTAAGAACTTGCAACAGTCTGATAAATGCAGGTACGGCTGTCAGGACTCCGAAACAATACAGCACGTAACTGGTGGATGCCAAGCATTCGCTCCAACGGACTATAAGGAGCGCCACGACATAGCTGCCAAAATCATTCACCAGGAGTTGGCATACAAATTCAAACTGATCGAATGCAAGCTACAGTACTACAAATATACACCGCAATGTGTCCTCGAGAACGACAAGTATAAACTATACTGGGATCGCACTGTGCTTACGGACCAATACATAAAACAAAACAGACCTGACATAATCATTGTCGACAAGGACGCCCAGAAAGTAACACTGATTGATGTGGCCATACCTAATAGTAACAATTTAACATACAAACATAATGAGAAAGTTGCAAAATACAGGGAGCTAGAATTTCAAATTAAACGCCAGTGGAAAATGAAGTACGTGGAAACAATACCAATAATAATGTCATCTACAGGGGTGATACCAAGAAGGCTGCTAGAAAACATCAAAGCGCTGGAACTGAGTGAAAACATTTACAAAATCATACAGAAAGGAGTTTTGCTGGCAACTGCCCGCATAGTAAGAAAATTTATGGGAAATGCAAGTACCTAGGGAGGTCACTATTGAGGCTTACCCCTTTGATGCTTGAAGCGTCCGGGTTAAGCCAGAACACCCCGATTAACGGGAGTAACAAAGCCCTACGGCTATAAAAATTATAATAATAATTATTATTATAATAATTATAATAATATTAATAATAATAAATACAATAATTATAATAATAATAATATTCCCCGCAGGGGGTATCTACTTTTGAAGCCGGATCTTTGATCCCGTTTCAAGAGAAGATACATGGGGAGCGTCGCCCCCACGGCCCCAGGCAGGGAGTTCGGGGTTTGGTAGTCTTACTAATTCTGCAAAACCCTGGACTTTTCCTTCCCCTTTTCTCCCATTCTTTCTCCTTTTATTATATCCTGTACAGCTGTTCGCTTTCCCTCGACTTTCCTCTCCTATCCTTACCCATGCGTTGAGGCGGCGTGTGGAGCTTCCTCTTAGCCTCCCGGGTGTTTGTGCCGTGCCCGGCGACCCGTAAGCTGGCCAATGGAATCCTGGTGGTTGAGCCCTACCAGTCAGGGGGGCAACACGCCACTTTGGTCCGGCGGTCAGTCTAGAAGGGCGGCCACGCCTAGCCCAGCGTTGGTCAATCGGCTGCGCCATCCCGTCAGAGGGGCTGGCTGGGCGAGCCTCCACAGGTAGTAGAAGCCAGACGAGGATGGTTTGCTATCCTCGATGTATGGTGGAGCTATCTGTGGGGACTATACTTCCTTTGTTTCGACATTCACGGTATCCCTGGGGTTGTGTTCTAGCGGAAGGCGATAATGAGCACAATCTCCCGTTGAGGCTCCATGGAGGGTGGGGAGCCGAGGAAGTGAAGATCAGGATTTCGCATGGCAAACAAAACAAAAAACCAAGGGTGTGCCTGCCCCCCTAAATGTAGGCAACGATGGCGAAGGTGGAGCTACATGTAGAGCTTCCACTGGACCGAACAATAATGTCAAGGAGACGGATGGGCCCGTCCCCCGGTTCCTTGTCATCAAGAGAGTTGATAATGATAATTTTGCAACAGTTAGTCCATTCCTTATTTCTAAGACCATAAATGGTATAATAGGAGACCCTAACTCTGTTAAAAAGATTAAAGCTGGCATATTGGTGGAAACAAAAACAGATGCCCAGTCTCACAGACTCATAAGAATACAGCATTTTACAGATATTCCTGTCACAGTAGAAGCCCACCCAACGCTAAATTCTAGCAAAGGGGTCGTGTACTGCAAAGACCTCTTAAATTGCCCTGAAAGTGAATTCTCGAGGAACTGAAATCAGAAGGAGTAATACATGTACAGAGAATTAGAGTCAAGAGGGACAATGAACTGCGTGATACACCAAATCACATAATCACATTCAACTCCCCCAGATTACCATCGAAACTTAAATGCGCTATGTATAAACTTGATGTTCGGCAGTATATTCCCCACCAGTACGCTGCTTTAGATGCCAACGGTACGGCCATACGTCATTGTCTTGCCAAAATGAACAGGTATGCATATGTGGAAAGGAGTTACACATGGGAAGACCATGTGATCGCCCGGTACAGTGCCTAAATTGTCACGGGCCTCACGTGGCTTCATCGAAGGAATGCCCAAGATACAAAACAGAATTGGCTATTCAGAAACTGATCGCTACTGACAAAATAAGTTATATTGAGGCCAAGAAAAAGGTGGTGGTGCATACTCCACAACCAAACGTGTCGTATGCACAAGCCACGCAAAAGAGCCAGGATGATGATATTATCGAAAAGATCATCCCACGTCTGACTAATATCATCCAATCTTCGATTTCTCAAGCACTGAAAGGCAAGACTTCCATGAAATTGAGCAACCTCAATTCGTTACACCTCAGCCAAAAGTATCACATAGCTTGTCTC